CCCTGCTCCTCCCCTCCCCGCGGGGCTCACTCGGGCCGTGTCCCCCCCCCAGGTTTCTGGCCACCAAGGAGCAGTTCCACGCCTTCCTGCGGGCCTGGGGCCAGCCCGGGGGCAAGGAGGAGGAAGAGAAGGAGGAGGAGGAAGAGAAAGAAAAGGAGGAGAAGGAAGAGGAGGAAAAGGAGGAGAAGGAAGAGGAGGAGGAGGTCGGCAGCGACCAGAACCAGCCCCCTGCCAAACGACTGAAGTCAGAGGAGCTCGATCAGGACAGGGAAGGCCCAGAGGATGGGGATGCAGAGGAGAAGGAGGCAGAGGAGAAGGAGGCAGAGGAGAAGGAGGCAGGGCAGAGGAAACGTGCCCGGGGGCAGAACAAGAGCAGACCCTGCATGAAACCCAAGCAGTACGAGCAGCACAGGCTGTGCCCCTCGGTGACACAGGTAGGACAGCAGGTCCTGGGCTGTGCTGCTTGGGGGTGGCAGGTTGGGAACCTGCTGGGCCCCTCCTGCTTGAGGGTTTGGTTTTAGGTCTGGGAAGGGTTGTTGAAGATGGAGCCACAGCAGGGAAAGCCCCCCTGTGGGGTGGGGGTGGCAGAGGGGCAGGTCCAGCTACTTACAAAACATTCCTGCCTCTCCCCCCTGCACTAAAACTCCTCAGTGGGGACAAATGTGTGCAGAGCAGGTTGGTGGAGCAGGTTACCTGGTACTGACAGATCCTACAAATGGTTTTGAGGTGTTTTAACACCTCCACATCATAGAATCATATCATAGAATGGTTTGGGTTGGAAGGGACCTTCAAGACCATCCAGTCCCAACCCCCTGCATGGGCAGGGACACCTCCCACCAGCCCAGGTTGCTCCAAGCCCCATCCAACCTGCCCTTCAACACTGCCAGGGATGGGGCAGCCACAGCTTCCCTGGGCAACCTGGGCCAGGCTCTCACCACCCTCATGGTGAATTTCCTCCTAAGGTCCAATCTAAATCCCCACATTTGAATCCATTGCCCCACTCATGTCACTGCCCCCTTCTGTGGCACCTTCCAGCAGCCACCTCCCTGGGGATGCTCCCTGGGGCACCCAGGGTGCTCAGAACAGTTCTGGGCAGAGCCAGGCTGCCCTCCCTGCTGGCTGGGAGGTGACCCTGGAGGACCAGAGATGTCACCCTCCTCTCTCTCTCCTTGCAAGGGACGTGCAGAGAAGTGTTTCTTCGGCCAGCGGTGCCGCTTCCTTCACCAGGTGGGCGAGTACATGGCCACCAAGCCAGCTGACCTGGGCCACACCTGTGTGCTCTTTGAGACCTTTGGCAAGTGTCCCTATGGTGTCACCTGCCGTTTTGCCCAAGCCCACCTGGGGGATGGTTACCAGAACATCATCAATGAAGACCTGGCCAAGCAGTGGGAAGGGAAGTCGCCGGTGAGGAACAACCTCTCCAAGGAGCTCCAGCAGCAGCTGCGCAAGAGGAGGTTCAGCTTCAAGAAGGCTGAGGAGTATCTGAGGGGTCTGGCCAAGCTTCGTGGTGATGGTGGGAAGGGAGGCAAAGCCACGGGGTGTCCTGCAGAGGAGCAAGAGGTGTCCAACTGCACAGCACCCCAGGAAGGGCTGGGAGACAGCCCTGGGTGTCCTGTGCCAGCAGAGCGGGGAGAAGATCCCAAAGCCTTGCAGAGTCCTGGCCCCACAAGTGGTGAGGAGGTTTCTTCTTCCATCCAGACAGTGGGGCCAGTGACAGATGAAGACCTGATAAAGCTGAGGTCATGTGAGAAGAAGAAGGTGAGACTTTGGTCGAGGGCTGCTGACTCTTGTGTGCCTGTCAAGTGGTTGGGATGGTGCTTGGGAAGAGAGAAGAGAGTTCTTGGGTGGGTGGGAGGCAGGCAGAGGTCTCCTGTCATGAGGAGAAGGGTGCAGGGAGCTGAGCTCTTGGGGCTATGGAGGGGTGAGAGTCAAGAGAAGCTGCAGCCTCTTGCACATGAAGGGGCTGAGCTGTTAATGAGGGTGGGAATGATGAGCAAGGAGAGACCAGGCCAAGGCTGGTTGAGATCCATGGTGCTCTCCTGGGGTGAGAGCATCACCTCCTTCCTCACCTCCTCATCACCCCCAGCTTTGCACCCACCCTTGCATCCTTCTTTATCCAGAAGTGCTCTGAGTTCTCTCCAAGCTGAGCAGTGAAAACAAATTCAGTGCTTCTTGTTTCTGGTTCTTTTCTCCAAACGAGACGTTCTCTTGGCACAGTTGAGGTTCTCAAGCAAACCCAGTGATTTCCTGGGTTTCTCCCTGAGTTTCACTCAAGGCAAGTGATAAAACTGCTGCCTGGAATCTCTTCCTGTTTAACCACTGCTGGATCAGCCCTACTAACATGCTCCTCCACCTTTGTTTTCCAGCTGGAAATCCAAGGCAAACTCTACTTGGCTCCGTTGACCACGGTAGGTAAAGAATTCTCTCCTTTTGTCATCATTTCTGGTTGGCACTTTTGGGACAGAGCAAATCTCCTGACAAACCACCTCCCTGGTGTTCTCCTCCAGTGTGGGAACCTCCCTTTCCGAAGGATATGCAAGAGTTTTGGGGCAGATGTCACCTGTGGGGAGATGGCTGTGTGCACAAACCTGCTGCAAGGACAGTCCTCTGAGTGGGCTCTCCTGAAAAGGCATCATACTGAAGATATTTTTGGGGTTCAGGTGGGTGCTGTCATCTCCATAACCAACCATATGAGGAGAAAAGCTGAACTCCTTGCAACTTGTCCTCCTTTGGTAGCTGGAGGGAGCATTTCCAGATACGATGACCAAATGTGCAGAGCTCCTGAACCAGACAATTGAAGTGGACTTTGTAGACATCAATGTGGGGTGTCCTATTGACCTGGTCTACAAGAAGGTAAGATGACATATTCTGCAGTGTCTTCTTCCTCCTTGATCCTTGTCTTCTTCCTCCTTGATCCTTGTCTTCTTCCTCCTTGATCCTTGTCTTCTGCCTCCTTCATCCTTGTCTTCTGCCTCCTTCATCCTTGTCTTCTTCCTCCTTCATCCTTGTCTTCTGCCTCCTTCATCCTTGTCTTCTTCCTCCTTGATTCTTGTCTTCTGCCTCCTTCATCCTTGTCTTCTTCCTCCTTGATTCTTGTCTTCTGCCTCCTTCATCCTTGTCTTCTGCCTCCTTCATCCTTGTCTTCTTCCTCCTTGATTCTTGTCTTCTGCCTCCTTCATCCTTGTCATCTTCTCTTCTTCCTCCTTGATCCTTGTCTTCTGCCTCATTTCCTATTGCCTGATCTGCTCCTGCCAGTCTCACCCAGAGCTCCCAGTTCATTTATGGGCACTGGATGTCAGCAAGAAGATTAGCTTAGACATGAGGAGAAGATTCTTCACTGGGAGGGTGGTGAGACACCCTCAAGGGCAGGTTGGAGCAACCTGGGCTGGTGGGAGGTGTCCCTGCCCATGCAGGTTGGAACTAGATGGTCTTTAAGGTCCCTTCCCACGCAAACTAGTCTGTGGTTGTAGGAAGAAGGTGAACAAGCTGTTCAAAGAGCAGGGAAGGGTTTGGTTTGTCTGCCTGGCAGCAGAAGTTGGGAGAGAAAAGGACCGTGGGGGTTTTGTTGTTGGAGTCTTCTTTCTCCAAGTCTTGAGATGCCCCAGATCTCCTGAGGAGAAAGCAGCTAGAAAGCAGCTGTTGAGCAGCTCCAAGGAGACTCTTCAGTGTGCAAGGAGGCAGAAGCTCTGGCCTGTTGCTGCTTTTTGTCCCCCAGGGAGGAGGATGTGCCCTGATGACTCGGTCCAACAAGTTTGAGCAGATTGTCCGAGGGATGAACTCGGTGAGTCCCAAGCACCTCCCGGCACCAGGAGATGAACTGGTGGAGCCACCTCCTACCTCAGCCTGGCCTCACTCTCCCATTTCTGCAGGTGCTGGATGTGCCACTGACTGTCAAGATCAGGACAGGGGTGCAAGAAAAGATGAATGTGGCTCATAAAATCATCCCCAAGATCCGGGAGTGGGGAGCATCCCTGGTCACGGTACAGGGACACTGGCTGGGCAGGAGGTGGTTGGTTGGTGTCTGGGGATCTCCAGAGCATGATGAGGTGGTGACCTTACCCTTCCCCACAGCTGCCTCTGATCAGTTCCCTGCTGCCTTTTATTGTTTTCTGTTAATAACAGGTTAAAATTCAGGTGCAGGAAACGTTTTCCTGGGTGCTCCTGATCCTTGTACCCATTGCAGAGAGGGATAGTTCCCCCAGTGCTCTGGGACAGAGGCTTCAGCCAAAGCAGTGACATTAAACAGAGGGCTGGGGAAGCAATGGGACCATCTCATTTGCTTGGGGATGAGCAGTTCCTGCCCACACTGACTGTTCCCTCTCCCTGGGAAGTCACTTCTTGCTCTGTTCTTTGTTCTTCCAAACAGCTGCAACATCACCCAGCCCTGCTGAGCACTCCCACAGCCTGCTCTGGGCTGTAGAGCCAGAGGGATCCTTTTCCCCAACCTGGTGTCATTGCCTTTGTTGAAGCACATTCCTCCAGTGCTCCCTTTCTCTCCTGCCCCCTCCAGGCCGTTCCCTGAGGTCTCACTGTGCCTTTCCTCCCCCAGCTCCACGGCAGGTCCAGGGAGCAGCGCTACACCCGGGGAGCTGACTGGGCCTACATAGCAGAGTGTGCTAAAATTGCCACCCCCATGCCCCTGTTTGGTAGGTGTTGCAGCTGGTTCCTTGTGGGGACTGAAGTTTGATTTTAAATACCTTAAAAAAAAAGCCTCCAGGTTGTTCAGCCTGGAGAAGAGAAGGCTCCAGGGAGACCTTAGAGCAGCTTCCAGTGCCTGAAGGGGCTCCAGGAAAGCTGGGGAGGGACTTGGGACAAGGGCAGGGAGGGAGAGGACAAGGGGGGATGGATGAAAAGTGGCAGAGGGAGATTGAGGTGAGACATGAGGAGGGAATTGTGGAGTGTGAGGGTGGTGAGAGCCTGGCCCAGGTTGCCCAGGGAAGCTGTGGCTGCCCCATCCCTGGCAGTGTTGAAGGGCAGGTTGGATGGGGCTTGTGCAGCCTGGGCTGCTGGGAGGTGTCCCTGCCCATGCAGGGGGTTGGATCCAGATGATCTTGAAGGTCTCTCTTCCAACCCAAACCATTCCACAATCCCATTATAAAAGACAGGCCCCCAGGGACATTCAGCCTGGGGAAGGGTTGGAGGATCCCTCCTGCTGCTCCCTGGAGAGAGTTCCCAGCAGCTTTCCCCGTGGGCAGGAGTGATGAGCACTGAGCAGAGCAGGAGAAGGGACAGGCAGGACACAAACCATTTGGGATTTAGCAGGTATTTTCTCCCTTGGGCACCGTGGCACAGACAGTCCCAGCTAAACCTCCAGGGTAGGAATTTGGAGAAGAGAGAAGCAGCCTTTCCTTTTCCTTGGAAGGGCAACATCAATCAGAAACATCCCTGGGAGTCTGGAAACAGGAGCCCCAGAGCCTCTTTGGATAATCTGACTTTTGGACCCTGTGTCCTTTTTTAGTTTTATCCCATGCCTGGATTCACTCATTTTGACTTACCCTCTTGTATCACTTTGACCTTTGGCTTCTCCTTTCCTTCTGGGCAGGAAATGGTGACATTTTGTCATATGAAGATGCTAATCAGGCCATGGAGACAGGGGTTTCAGGAGTTATGATTGCAAGGCAAGTGCTTCCCCTCTGCTTCTCAGCTCTGGTAGTGCCAGAAGGACAAAAGAATGAGAAAAATAACCTCCACAAACCCCAAAACACAAGAGGTTTCCTCTTGGTGAAACCAGTTTGCATCTGTGGGATCTTAACAGGAGCTTTCCT